GGCAACAGGAACAGATAACCACTCGTTAACCACTCGCACAACACATCAAACATTATGGGCTGCAGCAGATGACTGCACTGGGTACCACTGAGGGTATAACAAACCCAGACTGGGCGATGGAAGGTCTGAAAAATGTTGTGTGCTGAGTTTCTGTCTGCAGAAACGTTTGAATGGTAAAGTTTATATAAATGATGTGATGGATCCATCCTGCCTTGTTTCAACAGTTCAGGTTGCTGAAGGTTGTGCAATGATGTGGAGGATGATGGCTCAGTTTAATCTCTGCAGCCTACCTGAGTGTTGTTGCTGACCATGTCCATCCCTTTATAACCACAGTGTACCATCTGCTGATGGCTGCTTCCAGCAGGATAATGCTCACTGTCCCAAAGCTCACATCATCTCAAACTGGTTTCTTATCTCTGAACCTTTGGGATGTGGGGGAACAGGAGATTCTCACCATGCAGCTGTCAAATCAGCAGCAGCTGTGTGATGATGTCATGTCAACATGGACCAAAATCTCAGAGGAATGTTTCCAGCACTTTGTTGAATCTGTGCCATGAAGAAATGGGGCAGATCTGAAGGCAAAAGGGGCTTTAACTGATACTAGAGGTGTACCTAATAAAGTGTCCGTAGCAACTGCAAACATGAGATGAGGCTGCCCTTCCCCAAAACAGTTCCAGCTGGAATCTCCCTTTCTCTTATCGCTCTGCTGCAGCGTTACGAAAGCTCAGACACAGAATAAATTCTGACTGTGAAAAAGGTGAAATCTGCCTTTCATGCATGTCGAAGCTTCAGTAACTCTGAGTACATAACACAAGCATGTGCATGCACAAACTCCCACCAAACTAGCAGAGTAAAATTAATCCACAGCAGAGATTAGTATCTGTAATGTTAAGAAATACGAATCAAACCAGCAGCAGCTACTGAATAAACTAAACAAGGGATGGACAGGATTCAGCGGCTGACTCAGCCTCTGTTTGCTGTACGAGGGCTTTAATGAGTCACCGGGAGCTGCTGATGGAAGATGGACAAAAAGTGAAAGAATACAGGCCACAGTGGAGACGAGAGCTGGGCTGAAGCCTTTCTCCAGGGTGAAGTTGCCCAATAGAAACTTTGAGCTGAATACTCGCCCTCTGCTGTGCTTCTGTTTGCTCAGAATAATTCATGTTAAAAGCTGATAGACGAACCCAAAGTGCTGTATAGAAATACAAACAGGCGCTTTGCTCTGAGAACCCAAACCAGCTGTTGTTTGTGAAATTGGCCGAGCGTTTAGGGAGTGCCTGGAACGACCGCTGCAGGCTGAATGTTTGCCAGACACGGGGCGGGTCTGCAGCAGCCAGTAAGCTGCAGCCGCTCTGCTTCCACTGCACCAATAACTGCTGCTGCCGTGGCGTGCAGGCAAAACCAGGCCAAGTGTTTGTGAACGCTTTCGAGCGTTTTAAAGTGCAGACATGTTCCATGTTTGGAAAACGAATCCTGTTTTCACGCGTGCATCTCCGTCCTGCACAGGAATAAAATACAGAGGACACTTCCTCTTCGGAAGAAAAACTGTCAGTACAACGAGAACATGCTGCTAATAATGCTGACATGTTGACTTTGGAAAGGAAGGAGGAAACGCATAATAATAAAAGCATCTACGGACGTCTTTCTGTTTCTCCCCTTTCTATAGAAGGAACTCAGAAAAAGATGAAACTTTATCACACTGCCGAAGAGTTCAGAAAGCCACAACTTCTGACTTGCTTTGTCATAAAATTAGCTTAAAAATGCAGTGCAGCATTTTTTTTATGTGGTAAATGCAGCTTATTGTCAGTGTGACGAAAAGCATAACCTAAAAAGGAAAATTATTAAATATTTTATAATGATATACTAATTTTTAATGAGTAAACACAGAAAATGTAACTATTTTTAGATAAATATCATGGCTTGTGTTAAAATACAGCTGTTTTAAAGAGGTGCAGACATGAAACGTACATCCGTATCAAAGTTTTGGTGAATAATTGCAACACGACTAAATTAAGTCAATTAAACAAAAAATAATTTAAAAATTTATTATATATGATTAACAAAGTCTATCAAAACATCCTTTAAAAAATCATATCCAAAGCATCCATGCGTTGAGGAGACGTCAACTAAAGCTGAACTAGGTCCATGCTGTACTTCCATGTAATACCAGATTGTACCAGGAGATGGTGCTGTGACCCAATCTAACTTTTATTTAACAAGCAAAAAGAAGAGGATTTTATTTAAAATGATGAAAAGCAGAGCCTCTCAAGAAAAAGATGAAGTTAAAACTAAATATCAGGAGTTAAACAGCAGCAGTCTGAAAACATCTCAGACATGTACTGGAGAAACGCTGCCCCCTGCTGGTGACAGTTTCAGTTGAAATTTGCAGAGGTTGACTACAAAAAGCATCTTTCACAGCATCAGCGTCTGTGTGCATGTAAAATTTAACCTAAAGTTTATAGAACAAGAATAGATCATTCTTGATAAGTAATTAAACTTTAAAAATAATCATTTAAAATAAGCATGTTTGCATTTCCTGTGCTGATGAAGGTCAATAATTATACTCCTTCTCCTAAAAAACCCTCCTCGTGGGTCGGGGCGTTGGTTTGAAGAATGAAGCCTTTCTACACCCGCTCGACCTCCACCCGCCTGCTGTTTAATTTCTGCTGTTAATCAAATCTGTGAATTCTATCCCTGACACACTGACATCTGTTGCCTTGGTGTATTAAAATCATAACAGCACACATTGTTTTTTAACATCAGTAACAGTAGATCTTTGTCTGCTGCAACAAAGAGAAGATTCACACAAGTCGGGGCTGGTTTGTGCCGATCGCTGACAGTGTGGGAGACGCATTTCACCCTCAAGTCATCCTTAACAGGGTCAGAGGTTACACTCACTTTTTTTAAAGTAAGGATGCACATCTCACAGTTTCCCCTCTGTGTGAGGGTTCTTTGTTCTCTGACATCTGTTCACAGATTTTTCCAGCTGTGTGGAAATACAGGCAGGAGGTGGTGTTGGACTCGCAGCAGGCTGCAGAATGTGCAGGACACACAAGGCTGTCTCTGAATTCAGTCATGTGACCTGATTTTGTTTATGGAGTCATTTTGGTTTAATTCGACTGAAGTTCAGCAGAAACAGGAGCACATCTGCAGAGCGAGCTTCCACGCTGTAGAAAACGAAGATCCTTTACATGGACGAATCAAACTGTCTCAATACATAAATATGTTTGAGGAACATGCAAAGTGTTGTTAGCAAAGCTGTCATGCAGCCGCTGCATGACAGCTTTGCTGATCATATGAATCTATTTATGGAGAGGACAAATATTTGACCTGCTTCTGTTTTCCCCCTGAAGGTTTCCTTCTCTGACAGAGTGCAGAGACCGTGAACATCCCTCCTGTTCTGGTGAAACCACCTCCAAGTATGTACATGTCTCATCACTGCAGGGCACATCTATCTGCTGCCGCAGTGACGACATGACAGCCAGTGAGTGAAATCCCACCGCTCCACGTTTTAAATCAGCTCTCGTGCTGGAGGCGAGCACAGAGGGGCTGCAGAGATGCTGCTTCCTCTCTCCGTCCACATGTGCCGGCACGATCACACTCGAGGATTCGGTTCCCAAACTGCTGATTGGAGGCGGCACGTCGATGCTTGTCTGTTGATGAGATGTTGAGACATTTCAGGAAAAATGAGGAAACCCCAGACAGGCTGAGGCGAGACTGTTCAAAGGAATCTCAGTAAGGCTGTGAAGTCTTACCTGGACATTTTACTCAGAAGACGTTTTGCCTTGTTTGTTATTCTCGTCAGCCATCTTTGTAACAGCTCTTATTTTTAATAGTGATGCACCGATCGATCGGCCAGGGACCGGAATCAGACGATTTCCAGTGTTCTCGGCCCGACCGGTGACCGGCCGGTCAGTCTCACACGTGTCCAATCACAAAATAACAAGTCGGTGACCTTTCAGTGAAACTTTATAAAAGTGAAAATATTTCCTGGCAGAAGAACGTGCTGATTGGTTTGGACAGTTTGTGGTGAAATAAAGTTTTTGCAAGTTTTTCAATGATTCATCCGTTTCCCCCCCAACTACCTTAAACCTTTCTAAGCTTTATCAATAGAAAGCTCCTCACAACAGGAGTTTGGATCAGAGTGAACAGATTGTCTTCATCAGACACATGTAACATCACCCGGCGCTTATCAAGGAGCGCTATCAGCCTGTTTTATCAGGTTTCACACCACAAAGAAATAAACATGGATCAGAGTGTGAAGCACAGACGAGTCCCACCTGCACAGCTACACGATTCATTTTAACTTTATTTACAAAGACAGGAGTCTGTACATGACGACGAGGTCATGATACAGTCAGAGGTAACTGCACAATCTGACCGACAGACAACAAACTGAGTCACGTTACCTGATGTGAGTTCCTGCAGCAAGCAACAGTCAAACTCTGCCTCCTTGTGGGTTAAGAAGGTATTACAGCCACTCGTGTCCTGCTGTTTGTGTTTGAAACCTCGCAGTGTAGCAACTTTATGTCATTCGTTATTGTACCGCTCATTTCCAGCTCCATGTTTTTACAATTGGACTCAACCAGAGCAGCTTTGCATGAGTCACAGTTCAAAATAATCCTTCTTTATTTTATACTGAGCTTTGGTGTTGCCCCTTAGTACATCCTCTGTCTGAAACAAGCTCCTCCCACTTTAAGCCAGCTGTCTTCTAGAAGTTTATTTCATCACTTAGCAGCCATCTTGGTAACACCTTTGGGCAGCTAGTTTAAAGCACAGAGTGTCAAACTC